CAGGGACAGTCAACGTTCGCTGCTTCCATTGAAAGGATGTATGTCCCATATGACCCTGGCCAAGTCAGGAGTCACGGCTCTCTTCTTCATATTGCAGATTTACAAACTTTCTTGGAATCTACGAGTGGAAGAGTTCGCTTCCCAAAGAGCGACTCTGGGCTTTGCCAGGACGCAGATTATGAATTATTGCGATTGCTTCCGGCGAGCAATAGCCCAACAATGCCTGATCCCTCAAACACTCCTCCGTGGCTCAGTCAACGGAGGTACGGACAGCCTCTCGTTGCGAGAAGTCTAGTGCCCATGAATTATCCAGCTCAGGGAGGGGGGCCGCCGTCGGTGGGGACTTGGCCCGCAGAAGACACCAACCACCTATGGCAACGTCTCCCCAATCACCGTGAGCTATGGGATCTTGTCCTTGTTTTTACCGGCAGAGTGCTCACTCGCTTCTCGCACAGGGTTTGCCCAGACGGGACTCTAGTGTCTCGAGAAGTGCCGAGGTTCACTGACATAGACAAAGCCGTCTCTCTTGTGAGACAGGCAGATCAGATGCGCTGGACAGTACTCTTCAATCGCGAGTTGTCTTCATATGAGGTTACTTTCGACGACGAGTCGATTATTGCCTGGGTTCATACAGACGAGAGAACAATCGTGTCGTGGGACCACTGGCCAAGACTGTCGACCGAAATCCAGGATCGAGTTATATCCATCCCTTGGGAGGACGACGGGGGGTTCCTGTGCGGCCGGCACCGCTGGGTGAGGGCAGGTTTTGCAAACTGTCCCGTCTGCAATTGTCGGGTTAAATACAAATACAAGGTCACGCACGATTACATGACCCAGACGTGGAACAACGGCGTTATCCCTCGGTCCCTAGAGGCGAATGGCCTCTTCATAGCGGTGGATAATGAAGAGGGTCTTTCATGGGAGCGCCACCAATATATAAAGGCGCGTGCAAAGAGACAAGCGAGAGCTTCTGCCAATGTCATGAAAAACATCAGCAACAACAATCAGCAGGAGCGAAAATGGGCCGCTGGACAGTTTACTACAATGGCGGCCGCTGGCACGATATTCGGCAATAGTCAGCCTGGCAACTTTCCAGCTTGGGTCCCAGAAACCGCCGTGGCTCAGCCGCCGGCGCGCCATGCCCCTTTCGTTCAATATTTGAAGCCTTTAGTCAGAAGGTTCATATCGTGGCTTGAATATTCAGCCAGAAACGTGGGCAGGCAAACCCCAGCAATTCATACCTGGGTGCCGAAATTGTGGGAAACTAAGTTTGACCAGTATGCTCGCCCGAGGTCTTGCCCAGCCCTGGAGGCCTTTTATTGGCCGGACGAAGAGGATGACTTAGTCACTCCTTTGAGAGGCTGGGAGAGGTGGTATAGTGACATGACTAGAACAAATGTCTTGGTTCCGACGCTTAATACAATAGACGAAGTGGTACATTTAGGGAGACCATGGTTACCCGCGCAGAATGCAGGCGCCTTGGATGAAGAAAATGGGAACAACGCCGGAGACAACTACCCTCCTGCGCGATTACCAATTGCCTGGGAGAACAATTTTAGAGCGAGGCCGACTCGCAGTTCTCAGTCCGTCTCAAGACGGATTAGTGAGTGTCGGGACCACCGTCTCATTATCCCGGCGTTGCGACATGCCACCGGCGAAGCCGCGATGGCACGCGAACAGTCGCAGATGGATCTGGATCTTTCAGCAATCAGCGGACCTAAGGCCGCGCTGATAATTGACGGAACCATCACTCTTGATCATTATGAAGGACACGTATACTTTCACCGCGATGACCCTTGGATCAAGATAAGGTTGTTCGGGACAGAGGTTCGGGCAGTTGCAGCCCATTATGTCGTTGAACACACAGGCGCAAGCCCTACTAATCCTGGCAGGGTTACACCGACAGGAACTACATAACTACAGAACACGTGATCCTGGAGATCATCAAGGCCATAGTAGATGACAATTGGTTGGCCTCTGCACAACAATTATCCGCAAAATTTTCAGCTTCTTCATATCGGAAGATTACTTTATTGGTTACCCGGGGCGAATAATTCGCCCCGATATGGCACGCGCGGAAAATATTGCTTCGAAACGACGGACCGACGAGTATGCCCTAGACTGCCGCATCCGCGCCGCTGTTCAAACGAACGACATACTAGAAAAGTGGGCCCATAAAATGGGCAGGAAAGTGCCAAATGATGTCCGTCGCCACGGTGCTCTTATACAGGAAGCCATTTCACGGCTTCAGGGTAAATATCGTGACCCTGGTACTGAGCACCAGGACAAAGATCATGGATATTTCCTACTGCATGCGGAAAGTATGGTGTCGCTGCGGCGACAGCTGCCGGCTAAGCCGGTCCAGCGGAGAGAATTGATTTATCATAATGGTGGGAAACGTCGAGCCTCTTCGGCCCTTGGCCCCCTGGCAGCCACCGCTGAGCTGTAAAAGCTTTTCGGGTTGGCTCCGGTGGTTGTACATATGTACAGGCCGGGGGTGCCGTGGCTGGATGGGTTCTACGCGGCCCGCCGCGGGGGGAGTAAATATGCTCCTCTCCGCCTCATATGCAATTAGAACTTAACTTAGTTTGCATGCATTGCACTGTCCGCTGGAACTAACAGCTGCACCTTGCAGCTGTATGGATGCTCAAACAAGCCAGCCTTCGCCTGCAGGAGAGAAAAGGAGCGCGCCAGCCCTCGGCCGTCGCGCGTCGTCGGTCGTAGGCCAGCCGGCCTCCTCCCTTCACATTCCTGATAGAGTAATCTTGCTTAACGGATACTTGTCTTATCGATGTTTCATCCCGTCCCCTCTCTCCCTGAGCAGAGTGAACGTGAGATCTTACTTCCTTTGGCATATTATCCCGATTCTCAGAGGAAAGATGATTTGCGCCGACATTTGCGTGTGAGCTATTTGCGCCGACATTCGCGCGTACGCGCCGACATTCGCGTGTTAGCTATTTGCGTAAGACTGCGCGTGAGCGCCCTCGCTTCCAGTTTAGCGCGCTGCGCTGGCGGCCCGCGCAAGCTGCAGCGTAAGGTCGCTATGGCATCCCGAGCAGGCCTCCTTTACTGCCGTCTCCCAACTGACATCCAGACCGGGTGCAGCGCGCTGTGTGTGGAGAAGGTAGCCCCCCTCCAGTGATGCGATGCCCACTTGTTGTGCGTCGAGGTGTTCGGAGCGGTCTGTGATCTCGGGGGATGGGTTCACCAAGAGCCTGTTGGAAAACTCTTTCGGAGCCCCTCTGCTCTCGCCCCCGTCCCTCTGGAAACCCCCTTTTATCTCCTTCTCTCGCTTTGCATATTTTTTGTTGTCCTCTCGTTCTCTTTCTCGCTCTCCTTCTCTACCCTCCATCCATCGCTCTCCCTTTTCCTAGTTATTTTTTTCTCTCTCCCTCTCTCTCTCTCTCTACATTGTTCTTCCTCCCTCATCCACCGAGTGAGACCCAACTCTATCACCAGAGGGGGCGGGGATGATGAGCCACCAGGCTCACCCGGTGACCCACCATGACCCACCTCACTCGCAAGGCCCACCAGGGCCAGAACACTATGCCGATCTTGACGGTCCGTGGGGTTTCCCTCCCGACAGTTTTGAAAGAGAAGGAAATCCACTCCGCCACGGCGGGGCCTTCGACAACGACGACGATCACATTGCTACTGCAACACACCGTCACAGTCAGGGCCACACGTCAAATCCGACATGCACCCCTTCCCAACTAGGAAGCCACGACAGTGGCGGTCACGAAGCGCACGATGAAAGTGTTTTTTTTTTTTTTTTCATCCCAGAAAGCACACGGTGACGGCGCCTCAGGAGGTGGAGGCCCAGCTGGACCCCACTTCAAGCGCTATCGGCCTGGGGGAGAAAATGCGCATGGTAGGCGAGGCGCCGCGGATTGCGCCCCCGTGTGGGCCAGCACCGTCGCCCCAACCCGTTGGGCTGTCCAGCACGGGAGCACACCCAATCCCCCAGCGCAGTGCATCATGCCACCAGGCGTCACACCCGCCCCACCAGGGAACGGGAACTAAGGGCCCTAGTACCACCCTTCAGGGTTCAGGTGCCCGAGCGACACCAGCGCATCCCATTGTTCGGAGACGTGCCCTCACGCAACACCTCACCGTGGCCAGGCAACAGCATGTCCAGGAACGTGAAACTGCTCTCACCACGAGCATCACGGCACTGCAACAACGCGCCTCCAGCTTCGCACGCACGTTGCGCAGCATCCGGGAACAGTCAAGACCCCGTCTTGACAGGCTCCACAGAGCGCAGTCCGTCTGGAACGATTTTGGCAGGCTCTATGCACGCCCATCTATCTCTCCTGGGGCCACCCCCCAGGAACATCCACATGCGCTCGGTGCCTTCTTCCCCAGGGCATCGACGTGCACATGCCAAAGAGGGCTAAAAGCCCGTGCCTCCCCTGCAGCACGGGCGCGCAGGGGAGGCGTGCCACGACCTCACCGCCACGCTCTGTCAGTCATTTCCAGCCGGGGACTCCTTCTTGAACGTGCCAGGGGGGAGGATGTTTCCCACTTCTGTTTTTCACGCGGCGCCTCCCACCATTGAGGTCGGCCTTGTAGGGGCTTGTGTCCCGCGGGCCTGGACAGACTCCTATCCGAGGCGTTGCGGTCTCTCATCTCTCTCTCTCTCTCTTTCTCTCTCTCTCTCTCTCTCTCTCTATATATGTGGTTTCTCTCTATCTCCCTCATTCTCTCCTTCCCTCCCCTCCCACCCCTCCCTCGTCCTCTTCCTTTCTCTCTCTCATTCTCTCTCTCTCTCTCGTCTCCGCTTGCCCCCGGGCATCTCGGCTACATCGCTCCGTCGGCGACTGACAGAAGATGGCCTCGGCTCTCGCCGCCGGCCGCCCTGAGGCAGGTGCCCATGGAGTTTCGGTGCGATCTTCCAGCGCAGTCCTCGTCCCTCTTGCCTCTCCCTCCTCCTACCCTCTCCCTTCCCCTTCCTCCCGCCCCCTCCAAGTCCTTCTCCCCACTCGCACGGGCTTCCCCAGGTACGCCACCCTCAGCATGCTCGCCACTCCAGGACGGCCCGATCTCGGGTCAGACAGCTCTCCCTTGTCATGCCTTGCCGCGTCGTCCGTCCCCTCCTCGTCCTGCACCTCCTCCTCCTCTTGCTTCTCCTACCCGTGGCGTGCACCAGATGATTGTTGCTTCTTGGGGCCCTCTTGGGAGGCCTCTTGGGGCGTCTCGGGGCCACTTGGGGCGTCTCGGAACGATCTTTTGGCGACCCAGGGCCCTCCTGGGCCGTTTTGAAGGCCTCCTGGAGCCCTCTTGGCACGTCTTGGGGTCGCAATGGGCCCGACAGCGTCATGCGACAAGCCGCTGGGGAGCCCAGAGGACACGCGAGAAACCCCAAGATATTTGAGAAGTTGGGCCCCCCAGATACACTTCAGGTTTGAAGACTGAGGTTCAGAGGATGAGGCCACGGACTTGGTACACGCCCACGTCGCGCCCAGAGGCACGGTGGTGGATGATTGGAATACAGGCAGGATGAGGGACACTATCTGAACACAAACATGAGGGCGGTGAGGATGCTTAGGGGGCCGAGAAGGAGGATATGCAGAGGGAGGAAGGGGAGGGAAGGGGACAGAGAGGAGGAGAAGGATAAGGATGACGATCAGAAGCAGGATAGCATGTTCAAGACCAAGACAACGAGCAGGAGCAGGAGGGTGAGAAGAGGACCCCGGGGTGATTTGCTCAAGTTCGAGGAGGAGGAGGAGGAGGAGGAGGAGGAGGAGATAGAGGAGCGGAGACGGAGGAGGGAATGACGGGATGTTCGGAGGGGCAGGGATGATGACGAGGAGCGGGTGTAGACACGGGACGGGGGGAGAGGGGGGAGGAGGGCTAGCAGGACATCGAGAAAAGGAGGAAGATGTGGCGTCGGAGAAAGGGGATAAATTATTTAGTCGCTTCGCTCATTAACTATTCCATCGCGGGCGTTTGCCCATGTGTTCCTTGCCAATGCGGCGCTGATGGGTGGTGGCAATTTCCTTGAAGTGTTGTGTGAGCAGTGTGTCGTCTCAGGACAGATGGCTCGAAGTGGCTGTTCGTGTCCCCCCTCGTGGGCCCCTCCTGGGTTCCCGTTGAGGCCCTCTTGGGCCGTCTTCAGAGCCTCTTGGAGGTTCATTGTAGCATTGCTGGCACTCGTCTGCGTGCTCGCTAGGACATTTTTGGAGCCTCGTGTGGCCTTTTGGGGGCTTCTTGGAGGGGGGGAGGCCTCTTGGGGACTTTCTGACGATATAGAGGGCCATCTGTCGGGAAAGGGTTCGGAGCTTCAGTTCGGGCTCCTTCTCTTCGAACCCTCCTGGGGGGGTGGGGGGGCGGCTCTTGCGAGGTCTCTGTGGCCGTCTTGGGGCCTCTTGGGCCTTCTCGTGGCCGTCCCGGGGGCCTCTTGGCCTCAACTGTGGCAATCTTGGAGGCTGAATGTTTCGTCTTGGAAGACTGAACAGGCGGTAGCCTCAAAATCATTCAAAGGCCTCAGCGAAGTCAACAACTTTCAGCCTCCTGGTGGTCTCTTGGAGCTATATTTGACCATGTTGGGAGTGTATGGCGGCCATCGTGGAACCTGCCACCCATGGATCCCGACTCGAATGACCTCTTGGAGCTTCCTTGGGATCCCTCAGGGCGCTTCTAGCGCTTTCTTGGGGGCCCTGAAGACTGCCCACGGGAATCCTGGCATCCGTGATACCGACCGCCCTGGGACCGCTCAGGGTATTTTTCGTGTTGGGACCCCCAGGGGTCGCCACGCGCGCGCGCGCGAACTGGAATCATCGGAACCTGTCACCGGAGATTTTAGCACGCGTCCAGCCAGTTGGGCAGGCGAATTACGATTGCATTCTTCATTTCATTTACATTGCTTTAGCTGCCAGTTAACCTCATGATCTTGTTTGCCTCCCGCTCTGCCTTCTATTGGCGCAGGAAAGCCTGAGGACACGACGTTCTGGCTCACCTACTGGGTCACCTGGACCGCAGCACCTGTGCCACCTAGCCCACCGCCGCCATCGCCGGCGTAGATTTCCTTAGCACACTTGTGTAGTGTTTTTTGTTTTGCGTCGTCCGCGGGCCGCCCCAGGCCCCCCCCAAACAACCAAACAATTGCCTGCAAAGACAGCTGGCTCCTGGATAGGGTCGAGAGCTCCGGAGGCCGCGGACTGAGACAGCACAACGTTGGTGGTCTGAGATTGTGTGGAACATCGACGTGTACATCTCTCACTCGCCCCGCTCGGCTCTCGCTTCAGAGGGCAGATATGTGAACCCCCTTCCGCCTCGTCCTCCTCCTCATCTCCTCCTCCTCCTCCTCCTCCTCCTCCTCCTTGTCTTCCTCCTCCTCCTCCTTGGCCTCCTCCTCCTCCTCCTCCTCCTCCTCCTCCTCCTCCTCCTCCTCCTCCCCCCTCCTCCTCCACTCCTGCCCCTTGCGAATTAATACTCCCTGTCGCACCCCGGCACCCCGAGGTCAATCGGAAGGGCGGGCCGTCTTCTCACCATTTATGGGGTTTGCGCCTTGGCGCCGCGCACATTCGTTTTGAAATATTGCAAGAGCTTCACAGATTGAGGGCGGCTCGTTTTCAAAATGTGGCTCTCACTTCAGCGCCGTGCGCATTCGTTTCAAGCATTTGCAAGAATTTCACGGAGTGAGGGCGGTTCGGTTTTTTAATGTGGCTCTCGCCTTAGCGACGCGCGAAATTGTTTAAAAGAGTTGCAAGGGCTTCACGGATTAAGGGCTGCTTGTTTTCAAAATGTGGTCATCGCTTCAGCGACGCGCACAGTCGTTGTAAAGATTTGCCAGAGCTTCGCGTATTCTCATGGCTCCGTAGCCCTGGCTCAAGCCCTTTGGCTCATGCCTGGCTCAAGCCGCTCTGGCTCAAGCGGGCCTAAGCGGCTGGCCGGGCCCCCGCCCCTCGGTCCTCGGCATCCCCGCCCGCGGGGGCGTGGAGGGGGTCGCCCCCCTCCGCGCCCCCGCTCGCACGGCCATGGAGTCGCGCTCGGCGCGGCGGCGGCGGCAGCGGCGCGCCGCCGCCGGCTGCGCCGCCGCCGCGGCCGGCCGGGCCGGCCTGCCGCCCCACGGCCCTGCGGGGCCCTTGTCAGCCTCGGCGTGAACGGCGGCGCCGCCGCCGCGGCCGCCGCCGCCGCCGGCCGCCGCGGCCGCCGGCGGCCGGCGCGGCGAGGCCGCCGCGGCCGCTGGCGCTGTGGCGCGTGCTGCTGCGCTGGGGCCGGCCGCGGCCGCCGCGGCCGCCGCGGGCGCGGTGGCCGCCGCTGTGGCCGCCGCGGCCGCGGGTGCCGCCGCGGCCGACGGTGCGCCCCCGCGGCCGACGCGGCTGCCGCCGCCGCCGCCGCCGCCGCGGGCTGGCGGCGGGCCGCTGATCGTGTCGCCGGGGGCGGCGGCTGGCTGGCAGCGGCCGCGGGTACCGCCGCGCCCGCCGCGGCGCCCGCCGCGGCCGCCGCCGCCGCCGCCGCCGCCGAGATCCAGCATGGGCGCGTGAGCATGCTCGCCACGATGGGCTACATCACGCCCGGGGCCGCTGACAAGTTTCTTGGCGAGGTCCCCCCGTCTCTCGGGGTGCAGTTCGAGTCTGAATGCCGAGATCGCGAACGGCGGCCTGGCCAGGAAAGCGATCAGCGGGATGTTCTTCCAGGACGGCATCACGAGCAACGCCTGGGACAACTGGGCGCTGTACGCGGACTCCCCGCTGCGCGCCTTCGAGAGCGTGCTGTGCGTGCAGGCGCTGGTGGGTTTCGGTACGACCCCTCGTGGGCTCTCGGCGACTACGTGCATGGCGGCGTCCTGGGCGTGCCCAACGGCAGCACTCTGCCGGCCGGCGAGACCAAGTCCCGCAAGCTGCACGCCGAGACCGCGAACGGAAGGCTGGCGACGATGGCGATCATCGGGATGTTCTACCAGGACAGCCTCTCGGGCAGCGTGTGGGGCGACTGGGCGCTGTACACGGACTCCCCGCTGCGCGCCCGCGCGAGCGAGCGGGGCGCGCAGGCGCCAGTGGGCTTCTGGGACCCCGCAGGCTTCACGAAGGACGGTGACGCCGCGGCCCTCAAGAGGCGCCACGAGACAGAGAGCAAGGATGGGCGCGTGAGCATGCTCGCCACGAAGGGGTACATCACGCCAGAGGTTGCTGGCAAGTCTCCTGGCGAGATCTCCCCGTCTCTCGAGGTGGAGTTCGAGGACATCCCGAACGGGCTGGCTGCCTTCTCGAAGGTGTCCGGATCCGGATGGCTGCAGATCGTGGCGCACCGCCTCTACTGCGAGTCGGGCCCGTTCGGGTACAACTCGGACCCTAACAGGAAGCCTGACGAGCTCGGATGGAGGCCAATCGGTCTCTACAGCACTGACGCCACGGACAGGCAACGCAGGTTGAATGCCGAGATCGCGAACGGCCGCCTGGCCATGATGGCGAACCTCAGCGCCATCTCCGAAGTCCCCGCGGCAGGCTGGGGGCAAATCGTGGCCTACTGTGCGATTTGCGAGCTGTTCCAGGACCAGTCTGCTGACACCGATGTCTCAGCGGGCGACTTCGACCGGAAGATGCTGACGGCCAGCGTCGCCGCGGCCAGGCGGTCGCAGTCGGCGGCCAGGACTGCCTACTTTCGTCTGGCATTTACTGCGGTCATCGGCATGCTCTTCCAGGATTTGGAGGGCGGCCCTCCTCCTCCCTTTACTCCCCCCTGTCACGGGATCTGGAACCCAGAATTTCGAGGCGGCCCCAGCACTGGCGACCAGGGCGACTGACGACCTTCCGGAGGATCCTGCCATGGCTGAAATGGGGCCCGCTAAGCCAGAAGGGAGCGCGGTTTCGATATTTCCGAATCCCAGAAGCCAAATGGGACCCGTTAGGCCAGATGCAAATCGCGGCGTCTCGAGCCCCAGCCCCGTCCCCGACGACCGCCCTGAGCACTGACCACCTCAACGCCCCGCGACGACGACAGACGACCATCCTGGGGATCCTGCCACGCACAGTGACATATCGGAGCGTAGCAACAGCAGCAGCGGCAAAGTGCCACCCCCCGCTTCGTCGACAGACGACGACGTCCCAGAGGGGAATCGAGAAGTGGTGGAGGCAGAGGTCACGATGCCACCCCACGCATCGCGGTCAGACGATGACGTCCCAGCGGGGAACCGAGACGAGGCAGCCTGCGGTGACCAGTGCACCGCTCACACTACCCCCCCCCCCCCCCCCTTCAGCTGCACCAGCAGGCCAGAAGAAAGGAGCGGGAAGTCACGGCGGAAACCGCGGAGGCCGCGGAAGCCGCGGAGCACCCCCCTCAGGACAAGCAGTCCGGCAGCAGTCCTCGGGGAGAGCCACGCACCCTGAAGGGGGACCAGGTAGCAACAGCCCAGACTCAGGACAGCGAAGCCATCCGCTGGCTCGTCGAGAGAAGCCCCTTCGCGCCGATTAGCCCCCCTTCCCCCGTCAGTGAGCTTCCTACGGGCGGCGAGCCCCAGACGCCCTTGCCAGGCGTCCAGGGCACCACTGGCGAAGCAGCTTGCGCCCCGGCTATGGACGCCGCGGCGCCGCGCGCGCTCGCGCCCGGCACAACCAGCGGCGCCCCAGAGGCCGGAGCGAGTCCTGCGCTGCCCAAAGGGGGCGCACCTGTGAGCGACGGCGGACACAGGCCCGGAGGCGAACGCCAGCGAAAAGGGCCCCCCCCCCACGTGCCACAAGGCTTCGTCTGCCCTGGCCGCCCGCCGCGACCCGACCCCAGCCTGGCGGCCAACCACGCGGCCTGCTCTTCCCCACCAAACCCCGCCAGGCGGGCAGCTGGAGCTGTCGCGAGCAGATCTCGATCCCCCAACCAGGACAACGAGGCCCGCACGGTGGAGGCCTGCGGCCAGGATACTAGGCGGCACCAGAGGTTCGACCCGCGTCAACGGCCAGAGCCCAAGGACCCCGACGCTGGACATCAACTGTACAAAACAGGAATCAACAACATCCAGTGTGACCTCCCCGGGGAGACACCCGGCGAGACGATGCGCCGACTCCAGGTCACATTGGGGCCGATGTTCACGGGCACCTGGCACGCCTTCGCCAAGCAGCAGCGCGTGCCCGGCAGCAAGAGCGCGCTCGGCCCGTTTCGGCACGACCCGCAAACCTGCCACCGCTTCCCGGAGTCCTTCCGCAGCCACAAGTGCGACGTACGGGTCCATAGCGACGCGCTGGACCTCGACGTCGACTGGACTCGGCCGCGGCAGCTGCATCGGGGTCGGAGCGGCGGAGTTAACAGGGAGCACCGCGCGGCAAAGGGCCACCCGAACCACCAGGCCCCCAGGGAGCGCAAAACACGACGGTGGGCCGTCGCCCCGCAGTAGCCCCGGCTTCTGTCTCGTTCATAACTTCTACCTCTTCATCTTGGCTGTTGTCTACGTGCTGCGTGTGGCTATACCGTCGGCGTATGTCCTTTTCTCATCTGTCTGCGCGCTGCGCGTGTGGCCATGCCGTGGACAGCTTGGTTTTCTACTCCGAGATCCACCTTCTCTGTTGACTACGAGTTGTACACCGTGCTCATCAGCGCGATTGGGTTTCTCTCACATCCTCCCTCTTCGTTCTGACGGGCTGTTGTCGGACGTGCCGCGCTTCTCCGTCGGAGGAGACACGCTGTGTGGGTGCGCGTCGGCGGTGGAGGATGTGCCTGGAGAAAGGCGTGCGGTACCCAGGGAAGGCTGCAGCACAGACCCCCCGCCTGGTGGACAGGCGAGCAGGCCCCCCCCCCGCGGTGACTGAAGATCATCCACAGGGAGCGGTGGAGGGATCATACAGATGAGACCCAGTCCGGTCATCACCGTCACTGTGGGCCGCCTCCTCCTCCTCCTCCTCCTCCTCCTCCTCCTCCTCCTCCTCCTCCTCCTCCTCCTCCTCCTCCTCCTCCTCCTTCCCCAATTCACCAGTTTGTGCGGCTCTCGGCTGCGCCTCCCTTCCCCCCCCCCCCCATGGGTCAGCGCGGCATAGATTGCCTGGG